AAGGTCCATTTAGTAACTGTTCTGGAGCTGATTTGCTGAGTTGCCTGATGGAGGAACTATAATTAGTTCTCAGAATTGATTGTGTTTAGAAAAGTATTCAATTTGGACACTTTACAAACAATAGTAGTTACAAAACTGCTACGCAAGCTCAGAAAAAGTATCTTTGCAAGTTACATTGATTTTCCAAACAGAGGTAGTCTGACAAAAACTTCTGTGGCACTCAAAGCCCACCAGAGATTTAAATCTTTAAAAATGGGTTTCATATTTTTAAAAACCTACATTATTTTCTATACAAACAGGCTCAGTCGGTTTTAGCAAACCTTATTCATACAGGATGAAATATTGTGTGGGACTATTTTCAGCTGTGGATTAATACAGATTTGGCGCTCTAGTGAGTTTCTACAGCAACAGAATATGTGGGATTGATTTAGAATAAACTACAGTGACCATGTTCATCACAGTGGGGGCCCATGTCTCTGAGCGCTGCACTGTAGTTCATTGATGTTTTTAATAGTTTTGACCACAATGGAGCTGGAATAGAAGATGACGCTGCAAGCTTTGCCTATACAGACAATTCATTATTGCTTCTGAGCTTTTTTATGAGATTTTCTTTCAATAATAAAAAATATAGAAAACGACAGCCTTACCCTTTAGCTATGCTGGAGTGCATTCACACCCATAAATGTGTTTAAATGATTAAGTTGTTTCTCAGCTCAGATAAGTTCTGAAGTATCATCAATCAGTTTAAGAATAAAACATAATCTCATGCAATAAAGATGTGAAGCAACTTTAAAAGTGCTTCTGGGTCTATAAAGACACATCAGTAAAAAAAATTGGGTTATTTGATGCGTCCTGTCCAGAATCTAAATAATCCTTAATTTTCATGCCCCCATTGGGAGCCTTGATAAATATGCCTCTACACAGTCTTTGCAAGGCGGTATGAATATAAATGTGCAACAGGATTGTGGATGGCAGACGTTCAGTTTCTATTATCAACAGTTTTAACAGTTCTAGAAAACATTGGTCACATTGTTGTTGCTGACTGTCTTACCACTTTCACTTTTGGTTTTAACTATCTGCACAAATGCCCAAAAACTTTTAAAAAAACCCAGTGCTCACTCTTATATATTAAATTTCAGTTAAAATATCATAGAAATTAAATCATAACTTCAGCTCCTCAACATTTTATGATTAAGTGACTTGATGATGGACATGTGCCTATACACACCACTGATGTAAACCTGCTCTGGATTAAATATAACTCTGTCCTGTTTGTGCCAGGGATCAAACCAGCAGCCTTGTGGTTCATAATTAGCTTCCCCTAGGCCAAACTCCGGCACCTGCTTCCAGTTTCTTGCTTTTATAGTTATATATAAATATATTATATTTATATTTTTGCTGTCGACTGCAGCAGTGTAGCATTACACTGCCTCGTCTTACAGCATGAGAAGTAAGACTCTTATTATAATGCTGGCTTGAGGGATTGTTTTCTCACAATGCTTTTCTTTTTATTTTGTAGGGTTCTATCAATGGTGGACACCTGGTGTCTTGGTAAGACGGCATGAGCACACTGAACACCCACCACAAACATAAATCCATAGATGCAGCGCACACTGGCACACGGGACACACACACACACACAATGCAGGGAGTGTGAATGTCATAAATAACAAAACCTTGGCTTATTATATAGGGCTCAAAACTGAGTGTGTTCTTCTGAGGTCGCATTCTTCATGCCCACTGGAGAATTCAGCTAAACAGAACCACCACACTGATTTATCTTGGAAGGAGAGGTTGAAAAAGAGGGAGGAAGAAAGGGAGAGGGTAAAAAATGAAAAAAATTAAAGGAGCGGAATTGACGAATGCTACAATTATATAACAGTGGGGAGTTAGGTACTTCCTTCCCCTCTCCCTATTTTTCTCTCTCCTCTTTCTGTCTCAGTGCAGCTGGTTTGTGTCAACCACAACCCGGGACCTTCCCTTACCTCAGTTAATTCACACGGGTGATCTCATACACCCTGAACCTCCCTCAGATTCACTTGTAACACAGACATTCACACTCAATGCATTTTGATCGCTTATGCACAGATGATAGCACTCTTGTAAGTAGCTGACTCACTGATTTCTTAATAGCTGTGGTTGTTATATGATATTGTACATGGGTCGTTCTAGGAAGATGTTGGCTTTTGCAGCTATATTGGAGGAAAATAGACAGTAGACATTTTTAATCCACAATGTTTGTATTTTAGATGCCAGATCAAACTTTTTGGTTTCTCATTCTACTGTTATCAATTAGTTCAGGGTTGTTTTGTCCAACAAAAAGATTCCATTGACAATAATACAGAAAAAACTGTAAATCCTCATTTTAGAGTAGCTGGAAATATTTGTCATTTTTTCTTAAAACATTATCAAAAGTGTGTCGATCACGTAATTCATTAGTCAACATACTTTAAGTATGGTTAGTGAGATCACCTTGTAAGTCAAAGGTCACAAGGTCAATAAATGTGAGGAACTAATGTGTCCGTTTCGTACCTGCTCGTTCAGAATAAAAACGTCAGCTAATAGTCTAAAATATGTAAATTTAAAACAGTGAAGATAACTTTGAACTGCTAACAGGCATACAGTGAATGTGGCAGTGCAGCCTGTCAGTTAACTGTGCCCTGCAAGCACTTTTTATATCTGCAACATATTACACTGTAACATCAAAAAGCCAGCTTCTTGCATGTGTGTGCGAGTGATCAAAAGATGTGTGTTTGTGTATGCAAGCGCGCAATAATTCATCTACTGTAACCGAGCTGAAGCGTGGTCCACTTTTGTTTGGCTGACATAAAAAAAACTAGCATGCATACACACTCTCCCTCTCCCTCTCTCTCTCTGACTCTCACTCTCACTCTCACACACACACACACACACACACACACACACACACTCTCACACACTCACACACACACGATGCAGCCTCCATAAACCGCCCAAGCTTTGGAGTTACCTTATTAAAGCGAGAAAAAACCAACCAAAAAGACAATCGTTAAGCGAGCGAGTATCCCTCTTTTTAAATTTTTATAAAGCCATCATATACGAGAATCACAGAGTGTAAGGTTTCTTCCATTCCTACTGATGGCCTGTTAAAATGTGCTAGCACTTGTCTTCTGACTACTATCTCTATTCTATATCTTGTATCTGCGAGAATCTAACTGGGTAGATTCCACCATTCAACTAAGTAGTTTTGTCCGACGCCACTTTTATGGTCGTAAGAATCTCGAGATTGGACGAGGTGCGCTACCAGATAAGAAGCTAGCACGATCTTTCAGGTTGAGAGGAGGACCATGCACAAACAGAGGCTGTACATAGGCCTGAGCGTTAGAGAAAGAGAACTGAAGCACACAATGGCGACAAAGTGCACAAACACATAACCGCGTAGATGTAGTTATTAGTGTACGATAGCTTGGGCTATAGCATAAACAAAACTCAATAATGCGGAGAGAATAGTTTAGCTTCCCAATTTGGCAAGAGAGAGGACATTATTTTTTAATCCTCACCCTCCCTTCAATTGATGGTGAACCTTTGCTATTGCAGGACATACAGGCCTGGTCTACCCATATGTAGCAACCCCCCTGATCAAAGCATGAGAGAAAATTACGATTGGTTCAACTCCATTCCAAACATATTTGTACCTGCCAAAAGCTGTATAAGCAGAAGACAGGAGTCGGGAATGCCGGCACATGGGAGGGTTTACACTGAGAACGAACAGAGCAGCAGCCGCGGCTCTGAGTCATTTGTCCACGTACAGTACCTCACCCGACCGAGCCTCAGTAAATCCCACTAATTGTGAACATGTGTATCCTCAAGATTGTGATGTGTTAAGACAATAACTAGAGCATAGAATGCAATACAATGTCACCCGTGAGGTCCTTGGAAATGACGCTGAACTGATTGGAGTGCCCCCACTATTATACATTATAGCCAGTAATTGTGATTGCAGTATACACAGAGCCTGTGGTCTATTCAAAGTAAACATCATAAATATAAAAGAGCCACTCAAAATTTTGAAGCATCATTTTGTCCAGCTGAATGCACGTTGCCGGAAGAACCTCCAGCCATAGATAGAGAGGAAATCATACATCTGGTCAAGACGGGTCTAGTTCATTATCAGTCGAGACAAAACGATACAGATAACTCAAAAGCTAGAAAATCCATTAACTTTCCCACAACAAGTACAGCAGTTAACACACTGGCCGCACACAAAGTCAAGTGAGACTGGAGCAGAAATAGAAAATACACCAAAAAACACATTCAGTACCGCAGCCCAGGACGTTGCTTTTATGAGATGGAAACCAAACCAAGACTTAAGACACCATGTAAAGAGGAAGTAGACAGGACCATGGGAGCTTTAATATGCCCTTTTTTTTTTTAAAGTGTTACTAATTGAAGCGTGAACGAGGAATTCACCTTAGGAAAGATGTGGACCGTTATGGGAGGAATTATAGGCTGTGCAGCGATCCACATATGGGAGATCTTTAATGGTGCTATAGTATGTCGAAGGCCATGTTAGAGAGCAAGGTGGAATGCACCCCCAGGGAGCTGGTTAAAGCTGTTGGAGTGTCAATAAATGCTGGGAATGTTCAATGTAGTCATCTCATGGAGAAGTGTCTTACGAATGAAATGTTCTCCTACTAGCAAGTCCAACTCATCTTCTTGTTCTTATTAGCATAGACGCCAAAGCTGGTTGTGTTCATGCCAAAAGGCAAGCAGTTCGGCAGGTCTGGCGGCTGATGTTTTTTGTTATTTGTCTATTGCTGCTTCCAGCGTCTTTGATTGTGAGCGGGGCAGGACATTAACATGGCTGTCTTTTTGGAAAGTTATTGATGGACTGTGCTGCTTTGACGATCTGTCTGCATGTTTTGTTCCCTCGACTTGAGATGAGAAGACTCTCCTTGATGAAATGAATGATTTCATTTTGGGCTGAGTTTTTCAGCCCAACGTGCAAGTGTCAAGCGGAAAAAATGGGCTTCCCAAAGATCTTTTGAGTGGTACTTTTTTTTTTTTTTTTTACTGTTTAAACCACAGGATTGTGATCTACATTATGGCAAAGGTATGTGGGCCCATCCAATCAGTTTCAGCATTACACACCCCTGGTGAATTTTCATTTTTGATAGGTTATTCGTCTTTAAGAACAAATGAATATCACAGAAGATAGTGATCTTTAGAGGGGGTGGGTGTGAGGTAGTGTCTAGACAGGACCCGGGCTAGCTGCTCGCCCTTGTTTCCAGCAAAGCTAAGACTACAAGTTTGGGCCGGCTCGCACCGACATGTTTGGGTGGCCCATACAGCTTTGGCAGGTATAAATATTGGTTAATGGAGGTGACCGCATGTACAGTAGTTACTGGGCTTTAGAATCTGAGAGGCGGTTCTAGCAATGGTGCACGAGGCCTTTATGTGCCCTGCTTAATGCAGAGCTGTGTCCACCATGAAGGAGGGTGAAGATTATAAGTAATAAAGAATTGTGTGTTTCCCACCTCTTTGCCAAATTTGGAAGCAAACTGTTTACTTCGCATTAGTGATGGTTAGAAATTTATTGTCTATAGCCGCAAGCCAAGG